CTTCTTGCGGAATATCTTTGTGGTGTTCTCTGTATTTCCTGCATTTGAGTGTTGGCCTGCCTTGCTAGGTGGGGGAAATTTTCCTGGATAATATCCTGAAGAGTATTTTCCAGCTTGGATTCATTCTCTTTGTCACATTCTGGTACACCTATCAAATGTAGGTTAGGTCTCTTCACATAGTCCCACATTTCTTGGAGGCTTTGTTCATTTCTTTTTGTGCTTTTTTCTCTGATCTTGGTTTCTCATTTTATTTCATTGAGTTGATCTTTGACTTCTGATATTTTTTCTTCTGCTTGGTCAATTCGGCTGTTGAAACTTGTGCATGCTTCGCGAAGTTCTCGTATTGTGTTTTGCAGCTCCTTTAATTCATTCATATTCCTCTGTAAGTTATCCATTCTTGTTATCATTTCCTCGAATCTTTTTTCAAGGTTCTTAGTTTCTTTGCATTGATTTAAAACATGTTCTTTTAGCTCACAAAAGTTTCTCATTATCCACCTTCTGAAGTCTAATTCCGTCATTTTGTCACGTCATTCTCCGTCCAGCTTTGTTGCCTTGCTGGTGAGGAGTTTTGGTCCTTTCTAGGAGGCGAGGTGTTCTGGTTTCGGGTATTTTCCTCCTTTTTGCACTGGTTTCTTCCCATCTTTGTGGATTTATCCACCTGTCGTCTGAGTAGTTGCTTACTTTTCGATTGGGTTGCTGAGTGGATGTCCAGATTGTTGATGATGAAGTATTTCTGTTACTTGGTTTTCCTTCTACCAGTCTAGCCCCTCCACTGTACGACTGCTGAGGTCCACTCCAGGCCCTACTTGTCTGGGGTGCACCTATAGTGGCTGCGGAACAGTGAGGGATGCTACCAGTTTCTTTTTCTGCTATCTTTGTACCAGCATGATGCCTGCCAGATGTCAGTCTTTTGGATATAGAGGGGTCAGGGAGCTGCTTGAGGAGACAGTCTGTACTTTATAGGAGGTCAAGTGTTGAGCTGTGAGCTCTGTTGTTCATTCAGGGCTGTTAGGCTGCTATGTTTAATTCTGCTGCAGCAGAACTCATTATAAAAACCCTTGTTTTCTCAGATGCTCTGTCTTGGGGGTTGGGGCTTTTTTTGTGAGTGTCCATTGCACTGTCCTGCCCAGCTAGGAGGTAGTCTAGTCACTATTTGCCTGCCGAGGCTCCGCCCTGCTGGTGTGAGGTTCGCCCTGTTGCTGCAGGCTCTGCCCTGCTGCTGCAGTCTCTGCCCTGCTGCCACGGGCTACGCCCTGTGGTGGAGTCTCTGTTGTGGCGGGTTGCCTCGGCAATGGCAGGCTGTGTCAGCAATGGGTCTGTACCTCAGTAGGGGCGGATTGCCTTGGTAATGGCGGATGCCCCTCCCCCACCGAGCTGCACCGTCCTGGGTTCAGCTGTGCCTGAAGTGAAACTCTCTACCCAGAGCGTTTGGAATCGCCGTTTTGTTTGTCCCACTGCACTACCCCAAACGCCATTTCCTTGGAATCTCCTGGCCTGGCTCACTGTCCAAGTCCCGTTCAGTCAGCTAGATATGCCAATCTGCCCTCTCAAGTTTCAGATTGCCGGTTCAACAGGGCACCCGGACCAGTGCGCTTTGTGCAGAGCACTGTGGAGCACCGCCGCGCTACAGCACCGGCCGCCGGCTGCACCGGCTGCTGGCTGCACCAGCCAAAACCTCTGCCTGGCATCCCGCATCTCTTTTATACCTGGGAATTTCCCCGTTCCGTGGGCAACAAAGATCCGTCTGAAAATGCGGCCCTGACTCACCCTCCGCGCGTTCACCGAGAGCTTCAATCCTGGGTTGTTCTCACTGTGCCATCTTGAGTCCCTCCTCCAGAACTTTTTATTTTTCAGAACTGAAATTCTATGCTCAGTAAATCTTCCTCCTCAGTCCCTGGCAAGCATGAATCTACTTTCTGTTTCTATAAGTTTGACTACTCTAGATATGTCATATAAGTGGAATTGTATAGTGTTTGTCTTTTTTGTGATGGCTTATTTCACTTATATAATCTCCTCAAGTTTCATCCATATTATAGCATGTATCAGAATTTCCTAACTATTTAAGGCTGAACAATATATCATTGTATGTATATACCATATATTTTGTTTATTCATTTTTTTTTTTTTGAGGCAGGGTCTCACTTTGTTGCCCAGGCTGGAGTGCAGTGGCATGATCATGGCTCTGCAACCTCAAACTCCTGGGCTCAAGCATTCCTGAGCCTGCCGAGTAGCTGGGACTACAAGCGCATGCCACCACACCCAACTAATTTATTATTAATATTTTTTGTAGAGATGGGGTATCAATATGTTTCCCGGGTTCCATTCATCTCTTGATGGATACTTTGGTTGCTTTTTCCTATTGGCTGTTGTGAATAACATTGCTGTGAATCGGGGTGAAAATATCTCTTTGAGACCTTGCTTTCAATTCTTTTGGACGTAAACACAGAAGTGGAATTGCTGGATCATATGGTAATTTTATATGTAATGAGAAACTGCCATACCATTTTCCATAGTGGCTGGAACTATTATAGGAACTAATATAGAAACTATTCTATATTCCTACCAACAGTACACAACAGTTCTAGTTTTACACATTCTCACCAACACTTATTTTCTGGTGTGTGTGTGTGTGCGTGTGTCTATGTGTGTGGTAGCTGTCCTAATAGGTGTGAGGATGATACCTCATCATGGTTTTGAGTTGCATTTCCCCATTAATTAGTGATGTTGAGCATATTTTCATATGCTTCTTGGCCATTAAATTTGTTTTTATTTTTCTTTTTTTTTTTTAAGATGGAGTCTCATTCTGTTGCCCAGGCTGGAGTGCAGTGCTCTGATCTTGGCTCACTGCAATCTCTGCCTCCCAGGTTAAAGTGATTCTCCTGCCTCAACCTCCCGAGTAGCTGGGACTATAGGCAAGTGCCATCACACCTGGCTAATTTTTTTGTATTTTTAGTAGAGATGGGGTTTCACCGTTGGCCAGGATAGTCTTGAACTCCTGACCTCAAGTGATCCACGTGCCTAGGCCTCCCAAAGTATTGGGATTACAGGTGTGAGCCACAACACCTAGCTTACATTTGTACTTTAATTAGTTTTCCCTATGCAAATTTTTAAGACTCAACTTGTTTTATCTCTGTCAAGCCTCAGCTTGTTTTGTATGTCCCATTGCTCCGGCTAGTAGATCATCTTAGATTCCAAGGCTTTCATGCTTTATTTACTGTTTCTTCCACCTTCATGTCAACCGTATGTTAGATATATCTAGCTCAAATTATTTTCTCCTCTTAGCCATTAAGGATGACTAAACTTCTGACTTCCCCAAAATTAGACTGCTTAATAAGTAAGCTGACTTGATCACTATCTCTGGCATGTTTAGAGTGCTCAGGGCACTCTGGTATAGAATGGACTGTCCCAGAGATCTTGAATTCACTGTGGCCTGGTTGACAGAGAGAGAGAGACTCCATCTCAAACAAACAAAAGATTATGGAAATCTTTCCATATCACTATATATGGAAAAAAGATCTTCCTTTTTCTTTTTTTACCCCATGTATTATGTGTTCATTTCACCCATTCTCTATTGATGAATATTTGGGTTGTTTGTAGTGTTCTGCTACTTCAAGCAATGCTGCACTTGAATAATCTTATATATACTTAATTTGATGAGCAGAGATATATCTTAGGATGAATTCCCAAACTTGGGCATGATGGGAAAAGATAAATGTATTTATAATTTTGATATATGTCCTACATACAGGTTGAACCATTTGCACTTCAACCCATATATGAAAGTGCCATTTCTTCACATTCGCTAACATAGTATTGTCAAGCTTTATGATTTTGCTAATTTGATAGATGTAAAATGCTATGTCAATTTAGTTATTTTATTTCTATTTTTAGAGATGGGGTTTTGCCATGTTGCCCAGACTGGTCTCGAACTCCTGGACTCAAGTTATCCTAAAGTGCTGGGATTACCGCATGAGCCACTGTGCCTGGCCATTGTCAGTTTAGTTTTAATTTGTATTTCTCTTTCATAAGTGAAGTTGGACTTTTTTTTTCTCTTTCTATGAGTTGTCTGATCTTGCCCTTTGCCCATTTCTATTGGATTCCTGGAAATTTTCTTACCAGTTTCTAGTATTGTTTTGAAAATATATTAGGGAGATTAGACCTTTCTTTATTTGCAATATGTCTGATTAGGCATTATCTCATTGTATCCTTATAATAACTCCTCTGTGAGGATGTTGTTAAATTTTCCATTTAACTGATGAAGAAATAGAGGTAAAGTAAGATTAGGTGACTTGCCCACAGTTAAAATAAATGATGAAAGGCTGGTTTGAACTAGATGTCTCTGACTCTATGCTTGAGCTTTCAACAACTTATAAATTGTCTTCCCAGTGTAGTACAGGAAGGAAAAAAACAATTTTTCCTAAATTTCTCCTTATTTGCCTAAAATTTCCCTATTTGTCTGCCTTGCTTTTCTTCCTTTTCTTCTTTCTTTCCTTTCCTTTATTTTTTATCTTTCCTTAAAAAATATTTAGCTCCTACTATGTACCAGGTGCTAGAGAGTCAGTATTAGTAACTAATAGTGTAAACTCTCAAAACGCTCATAGTTCTAGGAAAGGAAGACAGTCACAAAAAGTTACAATGTTATGCAATAAATATATTACAAGAGGAGAGTGAGTTTCATGGAAGGCTTTATAAAGGAAGTGACTTTTAAGTTGGGTATGGAGGATGATTTGGAAATCTAGATGAAGTGAGGAAGAGCATTCCAGACAGAGGATGCTTGTCTGTCTTGTTCCAGCTTGTACAATATTTAGCATTGTCTCTTTCCAGCTTTTTAAGTCATCCTGTAATATTTGAGAATTTAGTGAGTAGTTAGGCCTTCATGATTTTATAGACTTGAATATCATTTATTTCTTATTTATGAAAAATACTAGTACTTTTAATGAGCTTCATGTTTTCCTATTAGTATCTCACTCCTATTCTCTCTCTCTCTTTTCCTCGTATAGTGGGGGCCCTTGAAGCCACTGATGGAAGCCACACTACCTGGGCATCGGACCATGAACCCCTGTCCTGTATGGGAGCGGAAGAGTGGTTGTGTGTTCCTGTTCTTCATCTGTGTGCGGGGCCATGTCACGGAGCGTCAACAGATTGTGTCAGGCAGGAATGCTGCCCGTCTTTGCTTCATCTGTAGTCAGGATGCTGGATGTTCGTGGAGTGAGGTGAGGGACTTGACTGAAGAGGTCATTGGCCCAGAGCTGAAGCACTGGGCTACATTTGCTGTGGGCCCAGGTCATGGCATCCAGCTGCAATCAGGGAGACTGGTCATTCCTGCATATACCTACTATATCCCTTCCTGGTTCTTTTGTTTCCGGTTACCATGTAAAACCAGGCCTCATTCTCTGATGATCTACAGTGATGACCTAGGGGTCACATGGCACCACGGTAGACTCATTAGGCCCATGGTTACAGTAGAATGCGAAGTGGCAGAGGTGACTGGGAGGGCTGGCCACCCTGTGCTATATTGCAGTGCTCGGACACCAAACAGGTGCCGGGCAGAGGCTCTCAGCACTGACCATGGTGAAGGCTTTCAGAGACTGGCCCTGAGTCGACAGCTCTGTGAGCCCCCGCATGGTTGCCAAGGCAGTGTAGTAAGTTTCCGGCCCCTGGAGATCCTGCATAGGTGCCAGGACTCTAGTAGCAAAGATGCATCCACCATTCAGCAGAGCTCTCCAGGCAGTTCACTGAGGCTGGAGGAGGAAGCTGGAACACCATCAGAATCATGGCTCTTGTACTCACACCCAACAAACAGGAAACGGAGGGTTGACCTAGGTATTTACCTCAACCAGACCCCCTTGGAGGCTGCCTGCTGGTCTCGCCCCTGGATCTTGCACCGTGGGCCCTGTGGCTACTCTGATCTGGCTGCTCTGGAGGAGGAGGGCTTGTTTGGGTGTTTATTTGAATGTGGGACCAGGCGAGAGTGTGAGCAGATTGCCTTCCGCCTGTTTACACACCGGGAGATCCTGAGCCACCTGCAGGGGGACTGCACCAGCGCTGGTAGGAACCTGAGCCAATTCAAGAGCAATTAATTGGCTTAGGACCCAATTTCCATAGTTAGAAATGGTAGTTACAGCCAGGTTAACAGAAGCTACTGAAGTCTACAGAGAATCAAAAAACTTAATATTCTGTTCCCTACCTTTTTTCTCTTCTCCCCCTCTAAAGAGCAAAATGAAAGTTTTGCCTTAGCTACTGCAGTGGAAAGAGCACTGAACGAGGAGTTGGAAGACAAGAATGTGGTCCTGGCTCTGCCACTGGCTTGCTTTTGGACCCTGGACATGTCACCTGAATTCTCTGGGCCTCAGGTTCCCATCTGTAAAATGAGAATATTGGTTCTAAGATTTCTCATCTTCCCATCCCTAGGAGAAGCAGAATGCCTACATGCTTTGTGATCAGTAAGTCCTGGTTGCATAAAGGACTCTGATGCCAAAATGGAAATCAGAGGACTTATCTTTTCACATGACTTACCCCTCATCCAAGTGTGAGGTTATAAGCAGGTGTCATGGCAGGAAGGAAAATCAGATCTGTATGATTTGTTCCATTTTTAATAACAAAAATATCCACACCCTTCTAATCATGCTCAGAGCTCTGTAGGCTCTCTGTCCTAGAGGAATTCAGCAAAACAGAAGAATCATGAAATCTCCTACCTCATGAAAAACTACAGCTTTGTAGTTCTGCTTACCTTCTCTTCCTCATCCAGAAAGTATCATTTGCTAGGGAGAACAATTAGAAGTTCAATGCCAGTAATACTGGATAATAGTGCATATTGCTTCTGGTGGTATTACCTTGATGAAGGATGGGCTGAAGTTCAGAATTCCGTCAGGGCCTCCCTTATTAGGATGGTTCCTGATGGGAAAGGACATGGATTAGAACTTTAAAACAATGGACAGAATTTCCCACAGTCTCTGCCCTCAAGGAGTTTACCAGTTTATGGGGCTAGAAGAGGGAGAAATTTCAAGAAAATAAATATAGCTGTTGGGAGGGTTTGTAGATTTTGGGCTATACCTTGGAGTGATGGTAGCTGCTGATGTAATTTTCTTAGTTGCGTCTTCCGTGCGCCTGGAATCGTCTGTCCAAGGCTTGTTCCGGCTTCTGGATTTCCCTTGTTTGTTTTTCTCAGGATATTGTATCTCAGGATACTGGCCCCAGCTGCTACGCTACCTACAAGAAGATCTTCACCATTAGTAAGATCTCTGAACCACAAACCTCAGAATTAGGCCTGTTTGTGTAGACCCATGGAAATCACTACTTGTGAAGTAGGGATGGCTTTTTGTCTAATGGTTTCGTGCTGAACTTAGTCCATGCTGAGTCTCTCAGATGCCACATTGGTTGTGCCTATCTTAGATTGTTTCCCCCATAGCCCGTTATTGTGACAGAAATTCTGTCATGAGAGATTTATTTTTTGTCCCTATTTTAGGAGGCTAATGCTTAAATTGGTATCAACTAAATATATTTAGTGTTGTATAATGACCATGGAGAACAAGTCTTAGTCATGAAATAATAGCCGCGGAGGCTAGGGGTTATAGTTACACTAGTTGGGTAGAGAAAGTCCTGCAGGATAAAAGTGGAGATTAACTTTACCTACTTTAGCCAATTGCTTAAGTCATGGCTTAGAGTGACTTAAAAATTCCCTTTGCCTCTCCTACATTTGCCAAAGTAATCTTCCCAGTACACATTTATTCACTCATGTATACATTTATCTAAATATTTCTTGAGTGCCTAATACAAGATACTTTCTACTGCCATTCCTTGGCTCAAAATCATGTGTGGTTCCCCATTGCCTATTAAAGGATATTTACATTTAGCCTGACATGTAGGCCCTTCCAGCTGTTGGGTGAAATAATGCACAGATACTTTCCTCTACTTCCTTATATGAGGCCCACTGTCAGGGAAAACCTCTTAAAGTTGGCAAGTGGAGGAATTGGGGAAAGGGAAAGGATTAAAAGGGTAGCTTCCTCCTGAGTGGTAGAAACTCCTTATTCAGCAAAGCTTTCCTGAACACTATACTGGATAGGAATAGGGAGGATGGCCAAGTCCTATGACCAGCGCTAAAGGATGAAAAGAATGAGAATATTGACTTCTTTAGGACTACTCAAGAAGGGAGTTACGGCAGGGACCTTCATCCTGTGCAGTGTGACCCAGAGATGTCTAATACCAGCACTCATAAGAGGTCTATTTCTAAATTGCCCTTCTCTTAACTTCTTCCCCCGCCTCATGTTTTTTCCCTTTAATGACTAGCATCAAAACTCTTTAACTGGGGCAGGCCTCTGAGCTATTTCAAGAATAGTAAGAAAAGGGGGTTGGGAACAGGGGAAGTCCAGAATAAGGACCTGAGAGAGGAACAGAGGTCATGGCAGCTGTGAAGAAAAAGAACAGATCAGAAGAATCCTGACACCTGAGGAAGAGAGAAGTGTCACAGACATGAGGCCTAGGCTAGAGAGATGGTGTAGGTGGCAGCTGCTGTGAAGAAGAAATGACAACAGGCTGGAGCTGTTCCCTGAAATCTGTGGGAAGGAAGAGAGACCTGCACAGGCTAGCACTTAGCTTGTGGAAAAGGTTCTCATTCAACACTGCAACTTTTAGCTGGCTTAATTTGTCCACATTCCAGATGACCAACAAAGACAGCTATAGACACTCCAACTCTGTGCCAATTACCCAAGACCTTCAGGGTCCTGGGACCTATTCCATGATACTGGTACCCTAACCCATTTCAGCCACCCTCAGATTGGTAGAGTGGGAAAGATAGGGCAGGTGGTAACAGCTTTTAAGAAAAGAGGAAAGCGGATGGGAGGCCTGTAATCTATAGGCATGTAGAGAGGACTACCTACATAGGCTGTGGTCCTTGGCCCTCAGGAGCTCCCATCCTGTCACTTGGACTCTAGAATGGATCCATCTAGCACACGTGGCCTAACACTGAGAGTGCAGGAAGCATGGGTAGGGGCCTTCTGCCGACACAGCCTAGTGGCTGTGTTCATGTTCTTACTGTTCACCTCAGGCTGTTGTCTGGGTACTTAATTTGGACTTGTTTCCCCTGGTCACCAGTCTCCCCTCAGATATCCACAGGACATGAAGCAGCTTCAGCCATGGATAAGAGGCTTTTCACTCTGCCTGTTGGGTAGCCCAGAGGATCCACGAAGGTCAACCTGAGGCTGCACAGCCTCCTCCCCAGGGCAGTAGGAATTGATATCTCATTTTCTCCAGATTGGGCTTCTCATTCTTCTCCAGGAGGTCACAATCTGCCTCTCTGGTAGGCCATGCATCCATCTCTGTGGTGCCAGAATCCAGTCAGGGCCTCCCTTTGGTCCTTACCATAGGCTGCCATGTGTTATTGTCTATGTTGTGCCCTCTATGCCTCTGCTTGGCTGTGAGCTCCTTGAGTGACTCCTCACTGTGTCCTTTTTACCTTGAATCACAATGGCTTATCTAAAAATATTTAATTTTTTCTATCACATTCTGAATTCCCTGGAGGTAAGGACTATGTCTGATTCCTCTCTTTGTCCTTTGCACCCAGAATAGGGCCTGAAACAGAGTAGCCAGCAGTAAAGATATGCTGAATGAATGAATGAGCCAACGATCCTTGGCCTTTGAAGCTAGTTGAGAAGGCCAGGGGGAGTTCCACTGTAGGGAGGGGAATGTTGCATCCCTTTGTAGATTATGTGGCATTTGGAACCTGCTGAACACTTACCCTCACTGTGTATTCTCTGTTCTGACTTGCTTCCAGGTCAGTCACACTACTTCCTGGGAATGGGCCTCTCTCTGGCTTGAGCTTGGTTGTCCCTGGCTTTCCCAAAGATCACAGCCTAAAAGGTGCAGTGGGGAAAATTTATGGCCTGTTGGAGAAGAGTGAGCAGCCTAATCAAGCCAAGCCTTGATTTGGGGTTCTCACTTCACTGGCATTTTCCCTCTGTCCCCAGTTGGATTTTCTATAATAATACTTTTCCAGGCCTCCATAGGAGATGCTGAAGCTCAGTGTGTTCTCATTGGGTCTTGGCTTTGTGATGCTGAGTGCCAGAAATACTCTATACCATAAAAACTACCATCATTCTTTGAAACAAGAAAGAGAAATAAAGAGCTTAATTCTGGTGACTGTTTTTTTTTCTTAAACTGTATGATGATTATTATACTAATATCTAGTTTGTGCCCAGCTTCTTTTAAAAAATGAATTTGAGGCAGTTTCTTGGTTTTCATAAGAACTTTTACTTTCAGAAAACTTTACTAATGATAATCCTTTGCACTTTTACACGTTGTTATTTGAACATAATTACCTATTAAGGGAAGCAGAGCAGGGATTTCCATGCCTGGTTACGGAGCACAATGTCATACACTAGCTTTTAAGAGGAGCAGCCAGAGGCACAGAGTCACCACTGACACCAATGCTGGTGCTTGCCACTGCATATCTTATCCTTTTTTCAAAACACCTTGAGATTATTCTCAATTTGTAGCTAAAGAGGCCACAGATATTTATTAATACCCAAATCAAGTGGAATGATAGCTTTAACTTAACTGCTGATTTTTATTTGATTTTGTTCCATTGAGATGTTTAAGGCACTACTGAATTTGACCAAATGTTTCAGCATAACTCCTTAAGCTGTGTCAGTAAATCGGTCTGCTCTCTTAGATTCACTCTTGGAAAGCTTTCAGACTGAGCATGGTGGTTCATACCTGCAATCCCAGCACTTTTGGAAACCTGAATCACAGAAAAACATCCTTGGCTGGTGGAGAATGCCTCTGTCAGTAGAAACCTGAAAGAATGGAGCCAGGCAGAAACTGATAAGGGTTGAGAGGCGGCGAGAATCCTAATGATAGCCAGTAGGGTCCTTCACTGTTGTGACCTACCAGCCTTTATTTCTTAAGCTAGTTTGAATTAGATATATATAGCTTGCAACCAAAAGAATTTAAGTACCCTTCCTCAGAAAATTTGATTAATTGGTACCTCAACCTGTCAGTCACTACCTGGAACTGAATACAAACCATGAGGAATTAACCTCTTTTTTTTTCTAAGTTTGCATGCAATCTCTTGCCTCTATCACCTCAAGAAGCCTTGATAGAATCCCCACTTGCTCATTGCCTGGCTTGGGTATTATAGCTACCTTGATCTCCTCTCTGGTTACAGCATGTGCAGCTTGTAATCCATCTTCATCCTCTTTGCTTATAAGTGCCTTTTTGAGGGGTGGCATTGAGACTGCTTTATCAATATCATCATCTGGCAGTTTGGACAGATTCCTTGGTTGATTGATAGTCCCTGAATGACATGTCCAGTTTCTGTATGCATGCATTTACAGCCTTGCAGAGGTTTGGGAACTTAGCACGTGGTAGTTCCTCACGTTCTCGTAGCCTAAATGCTTTGAGGAAAAGAAATAGTTCCTCATCATGTTCCTCAATCAGGTGTCTTTTGACCCTCAGGAACCTCATGATGTCATGACATACGCCAGGCAACAAAGCTGCATGGTTGAAACCTTCCTCAATGAACCTATGCATTGTCACATATGGTGTAATTTCAGAAAATGTGGCAATGAGTTTAAATTGGCTTTTAAAGGCACATGGGGTCATCCCTAGGCTTGGGTCAGCATCAAGTTTAAAAAGAAAGTATGTGATTTTGATGTCAAAGCCTTTGCATGCTAACCATGAGGCAACCTCTTTAAAGTCAAGCACAGATCAACTGACAGAGTCACCTCCAGATCTGATGGCAGGTAGTAGAGCATTAAACCTTTTGGTGATTTGTTGCATTGGATTGCCACTCATCTTGCACACAGTGTAATATATCAGAGAGAAGGCAGCTTTAACAACTTTGTGCTTGTATGGAAGTTGCTCATTTTGTTCCAGTCAGCCATGAACCATAGAGCATTTCCACCTTCTTTTCCCATGATTGATCTGTCTGGAGTGACGAATTCTTTAAGCTCTGGAACAAGGATATAAAGTTGATCAAAAGTAAAATGAGCATTGTGATAGCACAGGACTTCCCAAAGTGAGAGTTTGCTCTTGGAATTGAAGCAAGAGCCATGCAGACAGCATACACATCTTAAGTCATAGGCAACACATTCACAGGTTCATCAACTTTGCTAAGTTCTAATGGCATGTTTGCAGGTTCCAATCACTATGAGCTTTAATAGTTTTGTTAACCTGTTGATGATCTTGCATGAAGATTGTCCAATAAATTACTTTAAATACAGTCTACTAAAGTTTGGTGAACAGTATTACCTAATAGTATATTACCAGGAGAGACACTGGGCTGGAACAGAGAGAGGACTGGCCTAGGAGGAGCCAGGAGTTCAAGGCCTTGCCCTAGAGCTTGTCAGTAACCTGATGGATGACTTTGTGCAGGCCACTGCCCCCCTTAGGAACCAGCTGATTCAGCTCTGTCATGAGCATAACCCTTGCCAAGCCCCCTCACCCCAGAGGGTGGTGTGGATCTGATATGCTAGTGAATCCTCAAAAGGGTTTAGCAAACAGTGAAGTGTTGTGTCAAGAGGAGAAGATAAATTGCCATTATCTTCCCTTTGATCTCCATTATCCTTCAGCCCTGGCAAGGTTTGACAGTTGGATGCTGATAATGAGAGTGATGCAGAAGAGGGGAGGAAAGTGGGGCCCACTGAGGAGAGCACTCCAAGGTGGACAGCCATCATGCCTTGCCTCAGTCACACCCTTAGCAACCTGCAGAAAGGTCCAATGATTTTCACCGACCTTCTGATTGTGCCCCAGACCTTCTGCTCCCCTGCTATGAGGAACCACCCAGCCTGGGTGTGGAAGAGGGAAATCTCAGCCCCAAGTAGTTGGGAAGGGACTTGGTCTGAGTGGTCTCAGCCCTCCATAAGGCCAGGCATATTACATTATAGGAAGAAGAGGAATAACATTTGTAAAGTGCCTACTGTGTACTTTGGGTTATACATACATTCTCTCACTTAATTCAGCAAGTCTGTTTTAGAGCTAGGACAGTTGAGATTCAGCAAGGTTACACAATATGTTCCAATGTCACACAATGAGTGAGTGTAACAGAAACCTCTGTTTTTATCGTACAGCAAAGAAGAGGCAGAACTGGGGTGGGAGCAATGCTTACCCTACAGGTTGATAGGCAGAGATAGTGCCTCTTAAGTCCTTGGAACATGGTGGGCATTCAGCAGCTGGTAAGAGGCAGCTGATGAGGCAGCTGTAAAAGTGTGTCTTACAGTGCACTTGAGTCACCTCTCAAACCAAAAGTCTTCCTGTTCTATTTTATCTAAGAGAAATGCATTTGTTTCTCTGCTTGGAAGCCCCAGACCTAGCTGGAGATTGTTTTCCAGTGCCCTCAACCTTCAGATCAGATGGCTTTCAAGACTCAGAGTCATCCTAAACATAGTTACTGTTGTCATCAACTAGGAATAGAATCAGAAATGAGAACCTGGATCCTCTTAAGAGGTAAACAGAACTTGATAGCAGAAGCTGACTTAGTGCCAAGTGAGAAGACCAGGGCCAGCAGGCACTAGGCAGATCTCTGAGTCACAAGTTGGAGATAGATTCTGTTTGGGACTACAGCCAGTAACCCTGTCTCTGCATTTCCCCACTATGGGCCAGTCTCTAAAGTTGTACCCAGTGAGTAGGTCTCAGTCCATCATTGCAGTGTGGATGGTCCGTCACACATTATCCCTAATCCTTACAACAATCAAAGGAGCAAGGCCTTGTCCCCAACCTGTGAATCAGAAAACAGAGCCTTGAAAAGGTTAAGTCACTTCGGAAAATCTCTTTATAGGTTTTTCATCTGTAAAAACAATAATAGGCTGAACATGGTGGCTCACGCCTGTAATCCCAACACTTTGGGAGGCCATGGTGGGTGAGAAGTTCAAGACCAGCCTGGGCAACATGGTGAGACCCTGTCTCTACAAGGAAAAAAGAAAATACAAAAATTAGCCAAGTGTAGGGGCATGTACCGGTAGTCCCAGTTACTCGAGAGGCTGAGGTGGGAGGACCACCTGAACCCAGGTGGTTGAGGCTGCAGTGAGCCATGATCATGCCATTGCACTCCAGCCTGGGCAACAGAGTGAGACCCTGCCTCAAAAAAAAAACCAAAAAATAAAAAAACAAAAAAAACAAGAATAATAAAAATACCTTTTATCTAAAAAGGTTTAAACTGTTATCTAAAAACAATAAAAGTTTTTTAGATAAAAGTTTAAACCTTTCGTACACCGAAGATGTTCAAAACATGAGAACTGCCCTGATTATTATTTTTTCCTACAGTAATCATATTAGCCCAGAATGTGTGCACAATGTATATGTGATGGTCTGAATGTATGTGTCCTCTGCAAATCCATATGTTGAAACCTAACACCCAAGATGATGGTCTTAAGAGGTAGGGTCTTTGGGAGGTGATGAGGTCAGGGCAGAGTCCTCATCAATGGCATTGGTGACCTTATAAAAAACCTGAGGGGGCTTGCTAGCCCCTTTCCCCTTCATTCATGTGGAGAATGCAGCAACAAGATGCTGTCTGTGAGGCAGAGAGTAAGCCCTCACCAGACACCAAATCTGGTAGCTTGATCTTATACTTATCAGCCTCCAGAACTGTTGAGCAATAAGTGTCTGTTGTTAAAAAAGTATCTGTTGAGCAATAAGCTTCTGTTGCCTAGTCTGGCCAGGTGTGGTGGTTCACCACACCTTAGGAGGTGAGCCCCAGCACTTTAGGAGGCTGACGGCGAGGGGGTGGATCACCTGAGGTCAGGAGTTCGAGACCAGCCTGGCCAACATGATGAAACCCCCATCTCTACTAAAAATACAAAAAGTAGCTGGGCATTGTGGCTTCCACCTGTAATCCCAGCTACTCAGGAGGATGACACAGGAGATCTCTTAAAACCAGGGAGGCTGAGGCTGCAGTGAGCCAAGATTGCACCATTGCACTCCAATCTGGGCAACAAGAGTGAAACTTTGTCTAAAAAAAAAAAATTGCCTCGTCTAAGGAGATTTTGTTATAGTAGCCTGAGCTAAGATATGTATGCAGTACCTTTAAATTTATGTGTGCATATGAATCACCTGGGGAGGATTTTATTAAAAAAGATCCTGGCCCCACCGACCCTCAAGCCTCCCCTTCCACAAGAATTTAATTCAGTAAATCTGGGATGGGACCTAAAAATTTGCATTTCTGACAAGTTCCCAAGTAATACCGATGCTGCAAGTGCACAGACCACTCTTCACGTAGAATTATGTTATGGTACTTACTTCTCCATCTGTTGCCTTAACTACCTCCTACTCACATTCTTGCCAGCCCCATGAGGTAGGAGGAATAGAGACTGTTACTACTACTGTTCTGTGGAATCAAGCTTCACTTCCCAAACAGGTGTCCAACTTGTGTCCCTAGCTGCCAGTCAGCTGTATCCTTCCTGGGTCAGAAATTTAGCTTTCTCATGACATAGTCATTACCTGGGATTCCTACTGATATTCTTTCCAATCAAGGTAACATCATAGCATGGGCACAGACCTGGACAAGTGGGCACAGGATGCTTCACCACCCATACAGCAGATTTGCAAGACTCTGGGTTCAGCCAAGGACTCAAGCTGTGTGAAAGGGGCTTTTTTTCCTTGCAAAAGGGAGAACAAGGGTCAGAGCACAGAGTAGGAGCTATGTCTAGACATTTGCCAAACTAGAGATTGCTGAACTCCATGGGTTTGTGGGTCAAATACGAGATTCAAGGGTGTGGGGCTACATTGTACTCATCATCCAGACAATAACCTGACCCTATGTCTGATCTAGACTCTCATGTTTTGCCTTTGGTGGCCACACTGTGGCCAAAGTCAAGTGTTTCTTGACACCTCTCTCCTTAGCTCCCTCCCCTAAGTGGCCCCAGATTCAGGTTTCTTTGGGGTCAAGACCTTGGAAAATCATCAAGAAGCTGCAGTGCCTTTCCTGCTACTCTATGTGCCTGGTTTGGAAGCTCGGGTTTCTGTTTTGAAGTTATGGTTATAGGCCATGCATTTTGGGTTAAGGCCAAGTCCAATGGGCAGATATGAGCTTTGAGGAGAGGGCGCCAAGTCTGTTTGTTTACCATATTATTCCATCCTCTAGCTTAGCACCATCCCCTAGCATATCGGGGCTCAAGTATTTGTTGAATGAATTAATGGCCATTCTATTTTTAATCACTTGGAGGGCAGAGATCCTCCAAAATTGGAAACTCAAAGGTAGATCCTGGGTAGGTGGACACTCTTGCCTTTCTTGACCCACTTGATCCTCAGCAGCCCTAGTTAAAGTGAGCCCTGGATTTAGGAAGGTGCCATTAAGAGAATCCCACCCTGGAGCTGAGGAAGATCTACTTTGCCGTTCCAGTCATCCAGGTTCATAACATGTTCTTTGTTGCTACTCAGAAACCTTTCCTAAAGTCTGGTCTAAACACTCTAGCCTGGCATCTGCTGGGTCAATGGCTGTAAGGAGTAGTTGAGTGAGCACCTCCAACCTAGAGCCCTGAAAGTGGCGAGTGGGGCTCCCAAAGGCCAGCATGGTGGTGACAGTAGAAATCAGTGAGGGGAGACCTAACAGAAAAGATGAATCTTGAGGCCAGAGCCAAGAATCTCCACCCCTCATATGAAGATGCTCACTTGGAGGGGGCTGATGACTTCAACTCTGAGCCTCTTAGCCTGGTTTTTATAAGGGCTGCCACTGCAATTTCCTTACAGCTCTTGGGAGGATAGTCTCCATATTTGCTTACAAGGCCAGTGAGTATCCCAGTGCTTCAGGTATTCCAAATGGGAGGGCACAGGACTTGTCCTAAGCCCAGAGTTGGGGAAAATCCTTATCAGACTTCCCTGAGCTTGATGGGGCTGCAGACACACTATACTTGCTAAGGAGTTGAGGCTGATCCCACCAGCTAGGGACAGATGGGTTCCAGATTCAGGGGCTCAGATAGGTGGATGTGTTTAAGCAGGGCTGCTATTGTTGGTGCCCAATACAGACGTACCTAGCCAAGAGGCAAATGAGGCCTGAAATCCAGCCAAGAGTGGAGCTCCCAACCCTTGAAATCATAAGGCTGCAACTGTCCGAAGGTGCATCTTTTCTAATTAGCACAGGGTAGACCTTGGGAAATCCTAGTTGAGGGTATCTGAGGTGGGGCTAATCATGGCTGCCTGAGTACACTGAGCTGAGAAGTCCATGCCTGACTTTTTTGGGGATGTTGGCGAAAGGCTGACTCTCCTTGCACTGTCTGAGAGAGGTTGACCTGGGCCTGTGAGCCAGGCTGAGCTCCCATTGGGATTATGTCCCAAAGGGGATGCCTTTGGGACATGCCTGCCCTGCCTAGAGCATGCTAGACCACTCTCAAAAGAGACATCTTTATTGGACAATGGGACCTCTGGTCTTGGGGTAGAAATTAGTAAAATCTATTTTCTGTGACAAGACTGGGAGGTAGGAAGGAAAACACTTAAATGACATTTAGAAGAATGTAATTTATTAAATAGAACCTTAGCAAAGAGAGAAAAAAAATTAAGGTTATGCTTACAATAAAGAGAAAGCTTGGAGCAGAAGTGACAAGTCTTTGTCCTAACTCAAGTTTTAGCACTTTTTTAAAAGCCCTCCCCTCCCTCCCTCCTTCTTTTCTTTCCCCACCCACCCCTGCCTTTTAAAACTAGCTGAGTGAGAACTTGGACAATCCACTAAATTCTGAGCCTACTTTTCTTCCTCAGTAAAGTGGGCACAACAACTCTCACCTCTTAGGTTACTGAGAGGATCTAGAATGCATCTGTGTAATGGGCTTGGGATGGAGATAAGGTGACCTTGTTCTCCTTCCTGCCTTCTTCCTAGTTGTGATGGTTAATACTGAGTCAACTCGGTTGGATTGAAAGATGCAGAGTATTGATCCTGGGTGTGTCTGTGAGAGTATTGCCAAAGGAGATTAACATTTGAATCAGTGGTCTGCGAAGGGCAGACCCACCCTTAATTTGGGTGGGGATCATCTAATCAGCTGCCAGTGCAGCTAGGCTATAAAGTAGGCAGAAAGATGTAAAAGACTAGACTGCCTAGCCTCCCAGCCTACATCTTTCTCCCATGCTGGATGCTTCCTGCCCTCAAACATCAGATTCCAAGGTCTTCAGTTTGGGTCTCAGACTGGCTTTCTTTGCTCCCCAGCTTGCAGATGACCTATTGTGAGAACTTGCAATCATGTGAGTTAATATTTAATAAACTCCCCTTTGTGTATCTATCTATTCTATTAGTTCTGTCCCTCTAGAGAACCCTGACTAATACAGTAAATTGGTACCAGTAGAGTGGGGTGTTGCTGAAAAGATATCCCAAAATGTGGAAGTGATTTTCGAACTTGGTAGCAGGCAGAGGTTGGAACAATTTGGAGGGCTCAGAAGAAGAGAGGAACATATGGAAAAGTTTGGAAGTCCCTAGAGGCTTGTTGAATGACTTTGACAAAAATGCTGATATTGATATGGCCAATGAAATCCAAGCTAAGGTGGTCTCAGATGGAGATGAGGAACTTGTTGGGAACTGGAGTAAAGGTGACTCTTGTTATGTTTTAGCAAAGAGACTGGTGGCATTTTGCCCCTGCCCTAGAGATTTGCAGAACTTTGAACTTGAGAGAGGTGATTTAGGATATCTGGCAGAAGAAATTTCTAAGCAGGAAAGCATTCAAGAAGTGACTTGGGTACTGTTAAAGGCATTCAATTTTATAAGGGAAGTGAAGCATAAAAGTTGGGAAAATTTGCAGCCTGACAATTCAATAAAAAAGAAAATCCCATTTTCTGAGGAGAAATTCAAGCTGGCTCTAGAAATTTGCATAAGTAATGAGGAGCTGGGTGTTAATTCCCAAGACAATGGGGAAAATGTCTCCAGGGCATGTCAGAGGTTTGCATTGCAGCCCCTCACATCACAGGCCCAGAGGCCTAGAAGGAAAAAATGGTTTCATGGGCCAGGCCCAGGGTCCCCAGGCTGCTCCAGCTGTGGCTGAAAGGGGCCAATGTAGAGATCGGGCCATGACTTCAGATGGTGCAAACATCAAGCCTTGGCGGCTTCCACAGTGTTCAAAACATGAGAGCTGCCCTGATTATTGGTTTTTTCCTACAGCAATCATATTAACCCATAATGTGTGCACAGTGTGTATGTGATAGTCCCTGCCCCATGTGTTGTTGAGCCTGCCAGTGCACAGAAGTCAAGAATTGGAATTTGAGAACCTCTGCCTAGGTTTCAGAGGCTGTATGAAAACACCTGGATGTCCAGGCAGAATTTGCTGCAGGGGCGGGGCTCTCATGGAAACCCTCTGCTAGGGCAGTACGAAAGGGAAATGTGGGGTTGGAGCCTCCACACAGAATCCCTACTGGGGCACTGCATAGTGGAGCTGTGAGAAGATGGCCACTGTCCTCCAGACCCCAGAATTGTAGATCCACTGACAGCTTGTACTGTGCACCTGGAAAAGCTGTAGACACTCAATGTCTGCTTGTGAAAGCAGCCAGGAGGGAGGCTGTACACTGCAAAGCCACAGGGACAGAACTGCCCAAGATGATGGGAACCCAACTCTTGCATCAGTGTGACCTGGATGTGAGACATGGAGTCAAAGGAGATTATTTTGGAGCTTTAAGATTTGACTGCCCTGCTGGATTTTGGACTTTCATGGAACCTGTAACCTTTTTGTTTTGGCCAATTTCTCCCATTTGGAATGGCTATATTTACCCAATGCCTGTACCACCACTGTATCTAGGAAGTAACTAACCTGCTTTTGATTTTACAGGCTCATAGGTGGAAGGGACTTACCTTGTCTCAGATGAGACTTTGGACTGTGTTAATAAGTTAAGACTTTGGGGGACTGTTGGGAAAGCATGATTGGTTTTGAAATGTGAGGACATGAGATTTGGGAGGGGCCAGGGGGCGGGATGATATGGTTTGGCTGTGTTCCCACCCAAATCTCATCTTAAATTTTTACATGTTGTGGGAGGGACCTGGTGGGAGGTAATTTAATCATAGGGATAGGTCTTTCCCATGCTGTTCTCATGATAGTGAGATCAGTCTCACGAGGTCTGATGGCTTTATAAGGCAGAGCTTCCCTTCACAAGCTCTCTCTTTACCTGCTGCTATCCATGTAAGATGTGACTTGCTCCTCCTTGCATTCCACCATGATTGTGAGACTTCCCCAGCCACATGGAACTGTAAGTTGATTAAACCTCTTTCTTTTGTAAATTGCCCAGTCTCAGGTATGTCTTTATCAGTAGCATGAAAACAAACTAATACACTGCTCTCATGTTTGGGCAGGGCCAGTGGGCTGGGGAGGCAGAGTCTGTCAGTGGGAGTGGGGCCATGAAGTGTCTCTTTTATGTCTGAGGGAACCACGGTGACTCACTGAGGGGGCCTAGAGGCGGTGAGGGCTGTGGGCCTGTCACATCTTGTCAAGACTGCTCAAGCAGTTCCTAACTGCTCCTCCAGCTCCCTGCCACCATCCAGTCCATTCTCCCACTTAATGGCTCCTTTGCCAGGAGAATGAAGCCTTTTTCTTGGTGTCCAGGGCCCAATCTGTCTACTTTATCTCCCACAGCAGTCCTCCATATACAGTTCAGTGTTCCTGAACAGTCATAGCATTTATGCCTTTGTGTGTACCTTGCTTTGTCTGAAATGCTCTTTCTCCCTCTTTGACAGAATTCTTCCTTTTTCCTCCCAGGATCTAGCTTAAATGTGCCATTCACTGGGGAACCTCCCATGACCCCAGATCAGGGTAGGCCCAACTTCTGGCCTCCCACTCTGTCCCCTATAATGTTGCACTGCCCATTCTATGTGGAATGTTCTGTTGCTATATATGGCTCCTTTTCTAGACTGAGTTCTTCAAGGACAGGGACCACATTTGATCCTTTCTGTGTTCTGAGTGCCCAGTCTGGGGCCTGCCACAGAATATGGGCCTCACAGAACTTGTTGAATGAGTATGTCTATAAGTGAAAATAATAGGTTGGGCAGTTGTGGATAAGTGGTGAGTGGCAAGTAGCTTTGTCCCCAAGCCTCAGAGGGTCACCTGGACTAGGCAGAAAGTTGAGAACTCATCATTTTGGTCTCTTTTACCAAAAGAGATTAGGTCTGAATTTGTTTCCAGAAATTAGGACATGTTATCTATAAGACTGTCTGGGGCTAGTAGGACAAAAGACTAAAATCTGAGGTATCTGTAAGGAGTAGTTGGAGGGAACCACAGGCACTGCACAGCTCTGTCCAAGGCTCAGGAACAACTTCAGGTGGCTAGGTATGGATAATAATCCTGCAGTCAGTCCTTCCCATGTGGGAGTGAGGCTCTCAGCCAAAAGTCCCACAAGTCACAGAACAGTCCCTCTAGTGAGTGAGAGATCTGGTAACGCAGAAGTCCTCAGATTGTCTGCTCCTCCTCCCAAGACACCGAGGGATCACACTTCCACTCAGTTTCTTATGTTGCAAGTCATCATCCTTTTTTTGGTGGGCAAAGCTTAGAGTCTTCCCCAAGATCCTAAGAATTCCTGGGAGCTTATATTCATTCCTGCTGCTATTGCATTCTTGTGACTGAGTTGTTTTGCTCCAGGCTCTGATGCTGCCCTTGCCACCTCATTCCCCAAAGCACCAGGCACAAGTATGTGCATGTAACAGATTTTCCTCCAAGAGCTGAGGGTAAGGAAGTGAGCTGTAGCACAATGCAGAGCCAAAAGGCAGAGCAGAAATCATTACCTGCTTTGTACAAAAGAGGAAACCAAAGCTTAGGCATTAACCAGGGTACTTGACTAAGGCTCTATGGCAAGTTAGTGACAGAATTGAGTCTGGAATGAGCTTTTCTGATCCAGAGACTCTAGAGTCAGCATTTCATGGTTCTGAACTTCTGGAATCCAAAGAGCTGTCCAGGTTTAGGTTAAGAACAGTTCCACACACAGAGAAAGATGGTCCTGGGTGGCGGGCAGTGAAAGAAACCTGGGGAGCTGGAGATCTCCATGAGTGTGGCTCATTTCCCCCTCTGTCTCCTTGGGCTGACCCTTGCTCATATCCTGCCAGAACAAGATCCAGGTGGATCAAACCTTTACTGAGGGTCTGCTCAGGACCAGCACAGTAGTGCAGTGGGTTTAATCTTCACTATGGTCCTGCAAGGCTGGCATCAGTATTCCCCATTAGTTGAGAAAACAGGCTCCAGGAGTGGAAGTGACTGGCTCAAGGTCATACAGATAAAGTCAGGCCTGGTTCTGAGCCTGAGGACTCCCAGTCCAGGCTCTGCTGCTAGTCCGTGGCACTGCCAACATTGACCACCAGGTGGCAATCTCCCCCAACTCCCTGCAGGCCACAGGCACCCTGGAATTTTAAGCAGTGACGCCTATGGTTGGTGCAGAACACCAGTCTCTGCCCGGTTTTGAAACTCCATTGTCTCCAAGGGGAAATTGATACCCAAGAGGGATGGTAGCTTTACATAGGATGAAATTCCATATTTATGTGCATGTGAGCATGGGATCTGCTTCTGGTTCCAAGACTGGTGGACTCTGCTGACTGGTTGTTAGCTGGAAGTTGGCAGGCATGACTTTCCTGGCCCAATGTTCAGTTTCCCCTCTGTGCCTGTTGTTGCCAAGCCCCACTCAAGAGATGGGCAGCTGAGTGTTCCTGGGACTCCACCAGAGGCCCAGGCCTCAACCTGTTTTTAGGTGGGGCACATGCGTACCTGGTCTGAGGCCATCTGAACAGTCCTGTGGATCCTTCCCCCATTTTAATCTATGTGCTTCTTTGTATGGAGCCGTGGAAACTCCTGTGATTTTCCATGCCTGCCTATAGCCAGGAACCACTGGGGGAGAGTCCTGTGAATTCTTCCTGCAGTACCTCACTGTGTTCCCTTCAAGCTCTGCTGGATGAACCAGGCCCTCTCTGCAGGCTTCCTGCCACTGGATACCCCTTTACCTCTGTGCTGCTCAGCAGCTACCCCAGGGTGGGCCTGTGAATTCTCGGCACAGCAAGCTTTCTGCCCAGATGCCAGGGTAAGGCTTCCTTTCTGGCAGGCACTCCCAGCCTCTATGCACGGCTTGGGCACACTCTCCACTCCCCATCATGGCAGTGACTCTCAGCACAAACACCACACTGTTCACAAAAACACCCCGGCTTCTCCTCCATTTTCTCCTATGTCCTCGCTTTGTGTGTGTATGCATGTGCACGCTCCTTCATGTCTCTCTTTGCAGAGTGTGGTCTTAGAGCCTCTTGTCCTCAGCTTTGAACCTTCACTGCAACTCCACAAATCAAGACCTCAAGGAAAGTCCTGCTGTCCATCCTGTCAAGCAAAGGTAGGACAGCTCCCTTGCCAGATTCAGAGGAGAGATGGACTGGGAGTTCCTTGAAGGCAGGGCTGCTGTTGAGCTCTGTGTCCCCATCACCCAGCACAGGGCCTGCATGGGACAGGCCCCAGGGGGAGGGAGTTGGTTCTCACATGAATGAAGGGCCCTGTACTAGAGCAGGTTAGCCTCTCAGAACAGAATGAGTCCCCTCCCTCTGTAGGGCACCACACACCCCTCTGTGGGAACTGAGGGAAGCTGGGGAACAGAGCAAATATTGATGAAGGCAAGCAGCACACAGCCATTATGTCAGTGTTTCTCAAGTTTCTCTCCTTCATATGCCTCCTCCATGATTTTTGCTAAATCCATGGATTGTTAATAATTTTCTTTAGTGTATTTTATGAAAATACCTAATTCATGGTCTCCTAAGGAATAATATTCATGAAGTCATTGATTTGATGTAGCTTTCCTAATATACTTTAAATTATATACATAGTTATTAAAAAATAGCAAAGACCACTGAAGTAGGTTATACCTACCACCAGTGAGATGTATACTGCACTTGGGTTATTTAGTTTTCACAAAACCCTGTAAGGTTAATAATGCTATTTCTGTTTTATAGAGAAGAAATTGAAGGCCAGAGAATTGACTTGGCCAAGGTCACACAGTCTTCTCATCTTTTCCCTACAGCCTAAAGATGGGAGAGGGGAAGGGAGGAGCGGGTTCTTGGGGGATGATGAAGGATGATGGGGGACCGGGACAGCTGCCACTGAAAAATGAAAGAAGATGGGGAAGATAGGAGGTGGGGGGCAGGACTCCATGTCAGAAAGGCAAATGACCTGAGTCTCAATGTCCTATGCACAGTAATGGCCATGAAAATAGCTGCAGATTTGCCTGCATTTGTGTGACCAAGATTTATTGTGCCAGCAACTCCGGTAATTGGATGATGAAAGCACTGCAGCTGGGACTGTTGGCTGGAGATTAATTATTAGGGAGAGGAGGTAGGGTGGGGGTAGCCTGGATGGTGCCCAGCTGTGGAGAGACTGGAACCTGCTAGAAGAGCAGGTGGGCAGACCTGAGACATCTAGTGGACCCCTCCTCACTCAGCTAAGACCCAGGGAGGGAGGCAACTGAATTGGGCCAAGGCCACAGCCATTCTAAAGCAAGGCAGCATGAGGGCTTTTCTCTGAGTGAAGCTGATTTTCCAGAAAAGATAGGCAGCTACAACAGCAGGAGGGGCCTGCTCTTGGAGTCTGACACCAGAGGGGAAGCCTCAGCTATGTCTCTTACTGGCTATGTGTCCTTAGGAAGGTGACTTAACCTCTTCGAACCAGTTTTCCTGGTACAATGGAGATGATAGTGCTGACTTTACTAGGAAGTCATGAAGCTCCAAGGAGATTATTGGATGCTTTTTAGACCTAGGACCCACTCAGGAACAACTCTCATTCTCACCCACTCTGGTCACATCTGGCCCTCGTCCCTCCTGCCTGTGAACCCCTTCCCTGCTCTCTCATCAAGCCCTAAAATGTGATGCTTCGCCACTGTGGGCACTTTCTGCATGAATGTCAAGTCTCCCAAATAGAACCTAAAATGGACTGGGAGATGGGGGCGGGGGTGGATCCCAAGAAGTCATTTTCCCTCTCAGCCTTAGTTTTCTCATCTGCAAAATGGGAAGAGGCTTTATTTGGGTTTCTTCAGTTGCAAAGAACAGTAAACCACTTGAGCCCATTTAGACCAAGTGGGGTTGGGGGAGGAGCCAACTATGGGGACTGGAACTGGAACCTACACATTGGAAGAAACAAAGGCCACTTGGGGGTAGCTTCTCCCTCCATCTGTTTGTCAGTGGGTCTCATTTGCTATCTGCCTACCTTCCACTACTCATAGGTGGATTCTTTCCCTCTCTCCTCTTTGTCTCACAGCTTCTGCTTCCTGGGAATC